GACGAGATCCAGGCAACTACACGCCCGTGCTGGATTGCCACACCGCCCACATCGCCTGCAGGTTCACTGAGCTGAAGGAGAAGATCGACCGTCGTTCCGGCAAGAAGCTGGAAGACAACCCGAAGTTCATCAAGTCTGGCGACGCTGCCATAGTCGAGATGGTTCCGTCAAAGCCCATGTGTGTGGAGGCCTTCTCTGAATACCCGCCCCTGGGTCGTTTCGCCGTGCGCGATATGAGGCAGACCGTGGCCATCGGCGTCATCAAGTCCGTGAATTCGAAGAAGACGGAGGAAGCCGCCAGGAAGAAGTGATGGTCGCTTTACGTCTCACCACGCCCCGCCATCGCAACCGCCAATGATACGACCACACTAGAGACTGGAAAATCAACATCTGAGCGCGTTTCAACTTCGCAGCCTACATTTCGGCACTCGCCTGGTTACTCACCCGTAGTCATAAGCTTCATTGGAAACACTTACGCAGGAAAAAGGGAGACTGTGAGAACGCTACCAAAAAAGTCTCAATGATTTCAAAGCTGTTTGTAAACACTCATGTCTCATCGCTTGTGTGACAAGAAACCATCATATTAGTGTGCATCTGTGTGAAGGCAACTTCTCCCTTTTTGGCCAATCTTTTTTATTCTTATTCGCAAGCTCGCGTCAGTTCTGGGGTTCCTAGAGGATGTCATCCATATAATCAAATCAAAATGCCCTTAGTGACCTTACAGCAAACCCGTGTTGTTACTGGGTGGGGGGATAGGTCAGTTTGAATTAGGCCAGTCTTATCCAGAACCTTTCTTTATCCAGAATGGTTCTGGATAAAGAATGGATAAAGAAAGGTTCTGGATAAGACAGACCCAATTCAAACTCAGGCACACGTACGGTTCTCGATAGTTCTAAGCTTATCCAGGACAATCTACGTCCTTAAATACACGGAGACTATCCAAAACCGAGCCTGACACTAACCGGATATGCACCCTTTTGGATTGTCAACTGTAGGAAGAACATGGATTGACAGGGTACCGATGTATTTCACACATCTGTATGTGAATGGCATATACTCTCTTTTTATCTTTTTATTCGTATTACAATGTATTTTCGGGAGTAGAAAAAATATAACACCCACTGAACATACGTAGGGTGTGTAGATTTAGCCTAAAGCAACTAGCCACGCAAACCTGGCCGCTAACACTTCTAGTGGAGATTGATGTCTTTCCTGAACTTTTAACCTACTAATTGAACAACTGCAATCTCAATAATAGTCGCCAGATGGCGCCAAAATGATGCTCACCCCGTGAGTCGAAAAACGGCTGTTAGTTGTTGTGTTAAGAGATGAGAACCAGATGTAGAGAGAGGGGTAAGGTCGATCGGGAGACACGGTCGGTGACGGACGTGCGAATAAAGACATCGTCATTTGACATGTTTGAAACTCCGAGTCGTTGCGTCCCTTTATTAAATCCGCAGTCCTATGTGACAGATGCATTGGGGAGGGACCAGCAAATCGCCATGCGCATCGTGCAGAACTAGAACGATGTATTTTGAGATTTATTTTTTAGATATTTTTTTCCTGGGCAAAGTTTGCTAAGAAAGGCGCAGTTTAATGGTGAGAAGGACAGAAGAATGTATATTTTTAAAATATGGCCAAAAAGTGTGACCTTTTCGATGGTTTGACCTGTCATTGACCTCTAAATACTTGTCCTCTGTGAGGACTGTCCCACGTTGTTAGCGGGTGAAATCCTGGTATCATTTCAATATTTTAGCTGTATCTCATTAAAACCCCGTCCCCGGAGTCGAACTTCCACTATTTGTATCAAAAGATAACAAATCTAGCTATGGGGTAAAGACTTGAGGTTTGAGATAAAGGTAAATTTGTTTTACAGTGCTCGTTTCTCGTGGTTTTAGGATAGATTTACAATGGGATGTCCTCATGCTGGTCCCTGCCCCATTGTGACTGGTGGTGGTGGTGGTGGTGGGGATCTCCCAGGTTGCATAGCGCAGGAAGGTATCCTGTTGACAGCTTGTATTTTCACCTCCATGAAAAATTGAGGCATTGTTTTTGGCGCGTCTGTCTGTCTGGCTGTGTTTGTGTGCGTTTGTGTTTCCGCACATTTGTAGTCAGCATAACTTCATAACGCCGACGCCTTTATGGATTGTCATGATATTTGGTATACTGGTAAGTCTAAGGAAGACGAAGGTCAAGGTCAAGTATGGGCCTCCTGGTGGCCATGGATGACCTTGGTCCTGCAGCAGAACTTTTGTATCTTTTGTCCTGAACAAGCTATGGTCTTGACGTTTTGGAGACAGATAGGTTTTCCTTTCAGGAATAAGTGGTGTAAGTTTGGTCCCCCTAGCAGCTTGTTCTGGAACTGCAGGTTAGTTTCTGGTGAAAACTTTCAAAGCCAATAAGTCCAGATTGGAACAACGTATTTTCATCATTTTTGGTGTGTAGGTACCTGAGAGAGACTTGTACATAATTAAATGAAAATTATGCAAATAAGGACCTACTTTTCATAATTAATGAGGAAATTCTATAATTACAGTGTTTTATATAATGGTACTGCTATACATGTAATCTATTTTATATCATACCCGGGCCGCGATAACGTTAGATAACGGGTTCCGGACCGGGCTGTACTTTACGGTACGGCCCGGAACCCGTTATCGAACGCTTCCATGGCTTCCATAAAACGATTCGAACGCGTTTCGCCCTAACCGCGTGTGCCCCTTTCGAAGATTCGAATACAGAATCCGGACGTTGGAACTGACGTAGTTGCATTTTAGGGTTTGGTGGCACCAACTTTTGGCTCATCTTGCATTAAAAGGCGTGTTTTCTTGGGTGGGTATGACATAAATAAAATGCAACACGGTGTATTCCGCATCGCCCTCGGTCCCGGCCCCCCCGCGGGTCGGATCTCCCTCAGGCCTGCGGCCGTCGGGCGATCCGACCCGCGGTCGGGCCGATACCTTGGGCGCTACGGAATACCCCGTGTTGTATTCTATATTTATATCATACCCGGGCCGCGATAAGGCCACACTGATTTAATTTTATGAATGACATCCGCGCGCGCATTGATTTTCGCTTGTTCTCCAAAAAAAAAAAAAAAATCATGTCTTTTGAGGCTTCACGGAACTCCGGAACTCGGCTGGAACTCGGTACAGACTGCCGACTCATGAATGCCGCAAAAGGGCAGCTTATCGTAAAACTTCTTTTGTACTACCGCAAAACGTAAATTTTGTCGTAAATGAACCCTTTGCACATGCGTACTAGCTACACTAACAATGTAGAGCGCGAAGTTTGCAAGAGATGGCGGGGCAGCGTCGTCCTCAAAGTACGTCAAACTGGAGGCGTTGTTGTCGACTGGTATGCCATCGACATTGGCGAGGGGGATGTAACGTTTGCCCAGCTTTACGAGCGACTCGTGGCAGCCAGCGAGTATCGCCCGGACAGACGTCCTTTCCAGAGCGGCCACCACACGTTTCTATAATTTGCAACGATGAGCCTGTGTTGAGGTGGCCTTTAAAGTGGGTCAGGCCACTTCTCAGTGCAGTTCGGCTGTTTTGTCCGTATTGTTGTTGACAAAACTGCAACAACTAAAGCCAAAGATTGTCAGCAGAAGTCAGCTTTTGAGGTAAGAATAGTTCAGTTATTTTTTTGTTTGTTTTGTTTTTCTGATCTCGATCCAGTATCCGTTGCAAAATTTATGGGGAGGGGCGCGTACACGTGTTATGATACAGACAAAATAAAGTTGTCAATGATTTACAGTAGTTTTATGTAGATTATGATGTTGTAGTCATATGGCAAATTTCCAACAAGATGCATTTCTTCATGCAAGTTTTTTGTTAATTTTCTGTTGGGTGTTTTTTTTAATAGTGAGCTCTTGCAAAAATTATTTCACAAAATTTCCTATTTGAAAAATGATTTTTATTTCTCTGTTTCACATCCGTTTTGTGCAGGGCTCTTTCATGTAGTGCACCAGTGGAGGTGTACTCTGCGCGAGTCAAGTCTAGGGCACTGGCCATTCTGCCACTGGTATGCTGGCAGTGTGGGGAAACAGACACGCTTCCCATCCCTCCAGAGAAACTGCAGTGTTTCAGAGCATTCATCCAGTGTGCCAGGTGGGTTAAATATTATTGTGTACCTCATGTTTTAATTGTACATTCATTCTCACCCGCATTAGTAATGTTGTAATTTTTACAATACACTTACAATTTTATTTGGAAACATACATTCCAAGAGTAAATCGATTTTGCATACCATGTCATTTTTCTATAGGTGTGCAAAGCCACTCGTGTTGAAGAGCGTACAAGAGTAAAGAGAAAGCTGGAGAGGAAGGGATCTAGAGAGGAAGAAGATGGACCACTAACTTTCAGGTGGGTACTGTTTCTGCTCTACCTTTTACATTTTGCCGAAAATATTGATCTCAAACTTTCATCTGAAATAAAATCCACATCTATTCAATCCCCTTGTTGTATGCACTTCTACAGGGTATAAAGTATAAACTATATACTGTATATATAATTCATGTATATATCTACCTACAATGTAGGTCAAGCAATACCTTTTACATTTTTCTGTAGGGAGAGAAAACTGCGAAGGAGGAAGCTGCGAAGGAGGAAGCTGTGAAGGAGGATGAGACCTGAAGAAGACTAACTACATCTACCTCCTGCAAATAAAAACTTGTTTGATGCAGTCACTGTGTCCTTTGGTTCAATCCGCAATATCGGCTTTGTATTCCTGTGGTTAAGCAGCATTTTTTTTTTTGCTGAATTTTTTTTTCGCCCTCTCGCATTAGTTTTGTGGTCCCCAGAGGATGTCATCCATAAAATTAAATCAGTGTGGCCTAACGTTCGATAACGGGTTCCAGACCGGGCCCGGTCCGGAACCCGTTATCGAACGCTTCCATGGCTTCCATAAAACGATTCGAACGCGTTTCGCCCTACTCGCTTGTGCCCCTTTCGAAAATTCGAATACCGAATCCGGACGTTGGAACTGATGTTGTTGCATTTGAGGGTTTAGAGGCACCAACTTTTGGCTGATTTTGCATTGAAAGGCGCGTTTTCTTGGGTGGGTATGATATAAATAAAATACAACACGGTGTATTCCGCATCGCCCTAGCGGCCGGAGGGCGATCCGACCCGCGGTCGGGCCGATACCTCGGGCGATACGGAATACCCCGTGTTGTATTCTATATTAATCTGTGGGAGGCGGAACATCAGATACCAGAGTTACCAATTATGCAAATGATGACCTAATTTGCAAAGTTAATGTGAATATTTTGTGACTGCTTATTGGTGAATGATGGGAATTTTATACCTCGTGACATGTGTAAGGTTCCGGGTCGGAGTTTAATTCTGACCAGAGTCTAAGTAAGTGCGCAGTAAATCGCCGGAAACGTGACTTTGTATGGTATGTTTTGGCCACGATATCCCTAATATCGTAATAGCTGTGTACATATCTTTCTGTTTTCTGAAAAGCCTGTTAGTTGTAGCCTTTATAGGTGGCGTAATCTTGGTGGTCCAGCGGAGACTTCCTGATATTAGTCCGCGCGGATGATTTCCGCCTGATCACTGGGACGGTGCGTTCTACGTGTGTTGTGGGTGTGTTTGGGTCATCGAAGATAGCGGTAAACTTATCGCATCGATTTTAATTAAATTCTGACATCGGAAAGATTAGGTACCGGGCTTCTTCCAGTAGTAAGCCGTTACCCTAGGAAAATTCGTTTTTTCCATGCAGCCATGTGTGAAAAATGACGAAAAAAAGGACCCCTCACTTACAAATTTACTTTGATATGCCTTGTTTACCCCTAAATAAATTGGGCGCACAAAATATCAATCAAGTGTATTGATAAGCGGGACGGCACCCCTTTCCGCCAAAAGAGTGAAAAATTCCGACCCGCGTTTAGTACAGAAATGACAGCCCGTCAGGCTGAGGGTGTCAAATTCACTACGAACACAGCAGAAAACTCCGGTCCGAGACCGTAAGTTACTAAAAGTTAGCACCACTATGCATATATTATGTTAATGTAGAGGTTATTTGCATAATTGATGAGGACATGTTGAAATGAAGTATGACCAAGCAAGCCATATTTCTTGGAGGTATGAGATCTCAGAACTCTTGTTCTGTGTGTTTTGAGGTGTTGGCGCATTTTATGCCTCTGGACTGCTTCGAGTTTGATCTGTAGTGAGTTTGTTTGTGAGTGTTGGCGTTTGAGTGGGTCCCAGACTGGAGCTGCATACTCCAGCCTGGGTCTGACTAGGGATGTATAAGTCTTGCTTCTTGTTTCCAGTGAATTCTTTTGAGTTTGCATTTCATCACTAATTAGTTGTAGAAATACGGTATAAAATTGAATGTGTGGGTCATTGCATGCGCACGACTTACGTGCAACATGACCCCAGGTAACCCACAATGTTCGATGTGTTCGAGCAGTGTTCGATCGATGGCCAACGGCAGATGGAACGGGCCATTCTTTAGATCGAACGTGGAACGGGTAGCCCGTTTTTGGCTGCAAATAGCCATTAAAGTCCCCCAAATGAGTCATTTGGAAGTGGTGTATGCCAAATATGTGACTGCTATTCTGTAGACACACGTTCAAGGTACCCTTATACCGAATTTCAGATCATTTGGTTGTAATACCAGGGCTCAGGATCCAAAAATCCATTTTTTTGTCGAAAAATGCCCCCAAAAAACTTCATAAAAATTTTTCAAAGGCCTGTTACAAAAAAAAGAGAAAACAGTCCATGCCAAATTCCAGGTCATTAGGCTGAATGATGGCGGAGTTGAATCCCTCGGACCGAGTGGAAGGAGAAGGAGGAGAAACATGAGAGAACACAATATATTTCATCCATACCATGTGGTATGGACTGAAATATATGAATATTGTGCAAATATAGAGATTGATAAATAGGTACAACCTACTCTACATAATGGAAAATAATCTTACTGTCTTGAATCTAGCCTTGCACTCTTTCAAGCTTGCAAAATGCAATAAATAGTATATTTTCATTTTGTACAAGTAGAACTTAATATATCGGTGACGTAAAAGTACAGTCTATCCGACAACCATGTGGTAAACACCACACAGAAACTAATCACACGGACTAAAACTTCAAAGAAATACCAAACAACAAAACGAATGATATTGCTGTATTGTGTAATCTAGGTCAGAAAGTAATTTCCTACTGAAAAAAATGTAATCACTGATTGAACCAAAAAAACAAAAACACTTCAAACGAATGAGGACAGATATCATACGTTCATTCCACCAAGCTGCGTTTATAAGCACATTCTATCTTACAAATCACCACATAAAACGGCCACATTGCCCCGCCCACTTCTGTCAGAACTTTGAAATGCAAAATAGATGCAAATATTGGAGCACCTTCCTGATTGGCCGAACCGCAAACTTTTGTTCTCTCATTGGTTGAACTGGTAATGTCATGGATCGTCAAGATAGCTCTATTCTAAGGCCTACCGAGTCGGTACGCAAGTGCAGGCTGGACATCGCAGTTGTACAGGTACAGTATAGTAGGATATAAGTTCGTGCAAAATTTGAGGATACTAAAAAGTAGTTGTTTCTCTGTAAAGATCGAACGATATCTAATCGTGCGTTCGATCCATTGTGGAAGTATTGGGGAAAAATAGCAGGAGAAGCTGGTGTTACCGTTATGGGTGTAAGCTGGGTAGTGAAGTTGTACCTAGTGTTGGCTGTACGCCTGGAAGTGCCGTGTGTAGAGTCGGGGAACTGGCAACACTGTCAGAAGGTATCACCGAAGAGATGCAGCGTTGGTGACAGTCGAAGTGGTGGTCCAACGTACCGCTATGATATTGGTGGGTATGGTTCCCAAGATCCTGAATCTTATGATTACAAGGGACCTTTCAAGCTTATCGGTTTGGGCAAAGCTTTTATGTCTTGCTACAACTGCACAGGTGACAGAAACGTGTCAGGTAGTTCAGCCACGGGAGAGGTCGTGAGTGCAACACTGAGTCCATCCCAACTGGACATTACAAACCTTTTGATAGTCGATCACAATGTTGGTACCATGAGTTCAGGTGATACCAGCGCTCTCTCAGATTTGCCTTGTGGTACATACTGCCACGTATGGCTCGTAAACTGTAACATAACGACCATAGAGGCAGGGGCGTTTGCTAAGCTTTCACAGGTGAAGACCTTGGTCATCTGGCGGAGCAACCTTCAGACCCTAAAAAGCGGCACGTTTGCTGGGATGGAGGGTCTCAAAGACCTGCTGTTGTTGGACAACAACATCACCTGTCTGGAGGTAAGATTACAGCTCGTACGTATTTGTAAAATGTCTTTAATAATATTGTTTACGCTCGGCAACCAAAGATTCTTACCGTCTGAGTGTCAAATCTCGCGGGCTCGCGCCAGGTTGTGCTCTCGCGAGAGTGGATTTCAAAATGGCGCCGGTATTTGGAAAGGGGGTCTATTGCATTGTATGATCATAGGAAAATACCCAATTGAATTACAGCATAGATTGGGTGTTGCTTGTATGGTTGTATGACGTAAGTGACTAAGTAAGTATAATAATCACCACCTGTTGCGGAAGTCTTATACCATGATTACACAGTTAATTCCTGTCGACCTCATAACACATCCTACCCTCACAACCCTGTATTGCTGTCCTTGCTAAGGTAAGATACATAGAAGCAACCTAAACAAGCACCACACAGAGCAAACATGACTGACTTAGCTACCTTTGAGCACTTGTTACCAATTGGTAGCGAATAAAATGTCTACATGTAAGTACAACATGTTTTTAATATTACAGGCTGGTACCTTTGATGGGTTGCCCAAACTTGGCTACCTTTATCTGGTGGAGAACCAAATACTGACGATGCCAGTCGGTATGCTACGTGGACTACAGCTGGATTGGCTGGACGTAAGTATGAATTCTATCTCTCACATCGCGCCTGGTGTGTTACAGGAAGCAGGTCCTGTACGGCAGATCTATTTCGTTAAAAACAAGCTGCAGTCAGTCAGTGTGGGCATGTTTGCTGAGCTTGAACAGCTGCGACAGTTGTACTTGCAGCATAACGAAATCTCTAGCATTGCAGACGGGGCGTTCCTATCAAACAAGCTACTGCAGAGGATAGTCCTCTCCGGAAACAAGCTGACCTTTCTGTCAGGGCTTTGGTTTCCGCCGGGCAAGGCTTATACACATGTGAATGGGAAAGGAATTTATGCTGATGTGATTGCAAAGAAAAATGCCATAGCTGTTGTCGTCCACGCATCTAGATTGTTGAATTTTGTCTTGCAAAACAACCCACTGCGCTGTACGTGCGCAAACATTGGGTTGTATGAACGAATGTGGATGCTCTGGAAAGTCGGATGGTATCCCACTTGGCGTTTTATGATCTCTTTCCAGACGGGGTGTCCCGCCATTTCCTTGCTAAGGACCCCTCCTGTGGCGGTTAATGCCAGCGCTCTGCCTTGCCCGGCACCAGTTGTCGAAATTGTAAATGTAGAGCGAAATCAGTACCTCCAAGTATACACAGCCTTTGGTAACGTGTACTGGGAGGACCTGTCCCACGTGTTCTGGTCCTTTGCCAACGGGTCAGAATATTCAATGAACATAACACACAACACAAACACAACGGCACACGCCAGTCTGCCAATAGGAAACCTAACTGTTAGTGTGGTGACTTACATAAAGGCTGAGGGTTGGGTGAAATGTAAAGGGTCAGAAAGTAAGGCTGGATCCTGGAAGCATGAATCGTGTTCCAACTACATGGGCAAGTCTACATTCACTCTTTGGTTGAGGACTGTCGAAAACGTGACTTTCACAAACTTCAGTTATACCGTTGTCTCAGAAATCGGCTCCCACACTGCATACTTCGACACGAGCTTACACCTCTCACAACCTCGTACTACATCATTAGCACAATCCACAATCCACACACAACCAACAACCCTCACAGAGCCAACAACCCACGAACAACAGACAACCTACGTACAACCGACAGCACACACACCACCGTTACCCACATCCACGTCTCTATGGACGATTGTGTTGTCGTCTCTAGCCGCCATATTGATGGTGCTCACGAGGATAGCGTGGAGGTATTCCACAGAGGCTCACCGGGTGGCCAGGCAAAATGATAGGGAAAACTATTCAGTAGAGGGAGCCCCGGGGCCCAGAGAAGGCGTGGCACGCTTGCCTTCTGGATCAAGCGCGATCGTCCCTTATGCTGTAGCATACGGCGACACGGTATCAAACGCCGGCTCTTCAGATGAGCAGATTACCCCGTATGCTATAACGTACGATGTCGAAGATGATGACATCACACCGTATGCCGAGGGGCACCTTCGCGATCACGACAGTCTGTGCGAGTCAGACGCTTCTGACTCTTCAGAAATTGTTCCTTACGGGGTGAGCAAGATATGTGACAAATACGACCGTAAGGAAACTCAAGAAAACACACCTGTCACTTACAGAAATGACAACTTGTCGAGTGAGGGCCCTGTTTCCGAAACGTATGGCAAAGATGAACCCAAGGAAACCATTCTGAATGATTCGGTAAACGGTATCATTCATCAGCCAGGCCCTGCCGCTCTGCCAGGTTCCGACCGTAGTGTAGCGGCTTGCTCAGCGGCTTCTCCGCTACCAGAAGCCGCCGCGATTGATACCCAGGCTGCCCCCATTGATACTGAAACAGCCGATGCGTCTAATGAGGACGATTCAAAACGCGAGCAGGTGATTTCTGTTGCTACCGTTAGCAAAGACGATGACGAGGAGACTGCTTTGAAAGAAACCGTCTAAATACTCACTTTCCTGCGATTGGTAGCTATATAGCCTCTACCAGGCACCGCGGATCGCTGGAAAAAATATATAAATTGGCCGAAATAGAGAGATAGTATACCCGTGGATCGCATTTTGTATCCTATCTGACCGGCTAACTCCCATGATCTACTATCCCTTTATTTCGGCCAATTTCTACTATTTCTCCAGCGATCCGCGGTGCTTGGTAGAGGCTATGGGTTTGGAACCGTCATCTTATTTGCGCCCGCCGCATATTTATGCCAAGCTAATTATAATAAGACTTGGCGTAACGGCCTGCTACCAAAACTTCTCGTGGCTTTAGCTGTTGTTTCTGTTGGTGATTAAAGCATGGGATAGTAAGGCTTGCTCTAGTGAAGAAAAATAAATTTAAAAAAACCATTACTGTGGTTCCTTTATTTTTCTTCTCTTTTAGTTCTTTACAAAGGAGGTTTTGGACAAAAGCCACAAGGCATCATTAAGAATATTCACTTAAAAATTATTGTTCATTTTATTGACGCATGTCTAATACCAAAAGCTGACAAAAAAGTTTGTTTTAGCCAAAAGACACCTTTTACGAGTAAATTCATCTAGATTTATTGCAGAAAAAATTCAAAGCCATACAAAAAATAAAGCTTCAATCACAAACATTTCAATTTTCTTTTACATCCCACGGTGTACATCCAACCATCGAAGTGTGTCTGTAACATAAAAACGACGCTAGCATTAATATTCACTTCTGTACCCGGCGCTATATTTTCACTAGATTAATCGGACTGTCTGGGCGGAGGTAAAATTATTAAAATTCCTAGCTCTTGAATATTCATCACAAAATGCAGCACTTAATGGAGGTTCGTGTAAAGAAACCTTGTAATGGCACGGTCACATTTCCAAGCCGGGGCCCGGCCGGGTTGTTTTCGTGAACGAAAAATAAACAATTTTTATTAAGAGTATACCCAAATAGTGCTCGTGATTAATTTTCTAAAACTTTTTTTGTGTTTTGCTGTCTTAATTCATAATTATCGTTCCATACGACTGCCCGGCCGGGCCCCGCGTTGAGAAATGTGACCGCGCCATAAAGAAAAAGTAGAAATCTAAGAAAAAGTGGAAAAAGTAGACTTGAGTTTAGCATTATTCAATAGTAATGGCTATTAATGTCTTGTTGAAGTGTGAGCCATTTTTAGAAATACTACAAATTCTATCCGTCTTTTGGATCTATTTTTGTTTTTGTCTTGTTGCCAAGGTCACATTTTGACCACCAAATTGAACTCCAAAGTTCGCAGTTTTTTTTACGCTCCAGCCTGGTCCGAGTGGGGGTGCGCACATTATTTGGAAAAACTACTCCGCCGCTCGACCAATCAGGCCAACTTGTCATTATGTAAACTGAGAGCGTACTAACTTTGCCATTTGGAAAGGGAAGAGACGTTTGATACAAGTTGTTTGCAAACGGTTTTGAAGTAAAAGGCAAAGAAGAAATTATAATTTTGTGAAAAGCCAAACCGTTTCCATTGTTTATGGCAAAAACGTTGTGAAGTTGCAACACATTTTAACCAGAGATATGCTGCCTCACAAATCAAAGGTTTTAACCTCTCTGTTTACTCCTAACGTGCACGTGTAATATTTTTGTTTTCTTGCTAACTAATATGCACAATGCAACAATTATTTTCCTATACCTTTAAACAGACTTCATGTTGCATCACACAATCATGTAACATGTGTAACAAGCAGCCATTGGAGTGAAAGAAATCCGAATATGAACTTTGATTCAGTTAATAAGGCTTTCATGATTGAGGTAAACGAAAAAAACATGTTGTAGATCATTTGATGTTTGTTGGTCTATGCAAAAACACCAATAACACCAACGAATCTATAAAAAACAGCATTTTATAACATTCAACCAAAAGATTATTTTGTGCAATATTGAAATCAAACATCCGATGTTATTAAATACAGAACCTTCCAAAGCATACTGTCAGTTCTTTATTCCTGCCGCGACGTAATTAAACAAATTCCTTTGATGGCGTCGCAATGAAAACAGCTCTTCGGAATCCGTGCAGCACGGATTGTCCTCGGTCTGTCACGAATATCACATGTAGATAACAAGCAGCTGTCTGCACTAGGTTGGATTTCCCTGTCATCCCGCCGGCAAATGCACCTTCTGCAAACTGTCTTTAAGTCAATCCATCAGCAGGTACCAGCGTACTTACAAGTATTTGATAGAACTTCTCACACCTATGCAACAAGGCAAAATTCGTATTTATCATTGCAACTACCTAAAGTTAAACTGGAATCTGGCCGTAGAAAATTTGCATACAGGGGTGCATTTGCAAGGAATGAGTTGCCTGGTACAGTTAGGGTGGTCACATCTGGCCACTCTTTCAAGAAGCTGATAAAACATCGTTGCTGACCTCTGACCTCTCGACCCAGCCTGATCCATCGATTTTGATGCTCGGTTGTGTATATATATGTTACTTTTGTTATTTTGTTTACTGTTGTTGGTGTTTATGTCTATCTGTACAGGGCACGCCTGTAAAGCAGTATATTGTACTGAGTGCGTCTACCCTGTATAAAGAAGACAGAAATAAATAAATAAATAAATAAATAAATATGAATCTGGCACCTGCCGGCTTCCGAAAACATGCTTTTCAAAGGGAAACATTGGAATATTTTGCAACTGTATCTCCGTAACTGTAATCTCGGGATGCTTCTCGCAACATGTTTTTGGTGTCACAAACGAACTTTGATCTGAAAACTAGCCCACACTAAATCATCACTGTTACATACTGATGAATTCTTTTTAAAAACTCATTACGTCAAAAGGATGATATGTAAACAACGAAAACATTATGATCTCTTTGCACTGAACACAATGAGCAGCCTCCATGGATCTGTCTATGAGATTGCTTTTGCAGTACAAATTCTGTATAAAAGGAAAACACAGAAATGGACATTTTCATTTTTTTCAGCAATAAATAAATCAGGAAATTGTTTTTATAAAGGGACGATTACGCTATCAAGTCAAAATATACACCATAGATGAACATAATTCAAAAGAAAACAGCTTCCCAATGTCAATGAAACAAAACATCCCAAAGAGAAAAATTAATGAAAAAAAACACACCACAGTTAACGGCTTTGGAACAAAATTTCCTCAAGACACCAATTTTCTAAAGAAAAGTCTTAGCAGGGAAAAAAACGTAATTTACTGATTTTCCAGGGGAATGTTCTAGATTTTTTACTCATCAGTAAATCAATTTTCTAAATAAAAGTCTTAGCAGGGAAAAAAACGTAATTTACTGATTTTCCAGGGGAGTGTTCTAGATTTTTTACTCATCAGTAAATCGATATCTCGTTTCATGTAAATCTGAGTACATCTGATTGGGCTACCCCTGACAGATGAAATGGTTCATCTCAAACTGGCCTTAAAAATATTAATGCTAGACAATTATCTTGACAACAATGTCAATGATGAGATTTCTTGTTATTCCAAGATTTCTTGTTATTATGGCATCTTAATTGTTATTTGATTAACCATTTAAAAAGTATTTGGTTTTCTTAAAAAAACAATCTCAATTAATTCTGCTGTAAGACAAATCAAGTATTTCATAAATAAATAAATTTAATCTACTTTTAGGGACTGCACAAGCCTCTAAACCCTTCCGTCGCTATGGAAGAACAATGTATGCATTCACATGGACATGTTACAACGAGGGGACTGTAAGAATGGTGTGTTCACGTAGACTGCCTTCGAGGAAACTGTAACATGATAAAAATGGGGAAACTGTAATAACAAGGCATGTGTTAAAATTGACTTCTTATAACGAGGAGACTATAAGAAACATGCATGTGTTCACATGGACTTGTTACAAAATACAACGAGGAAACTGTAAGAACATTGTGTTCACGTAGACGTGTTACGAGGAAATTTTAAGAACTTTATATGTGTTCACACGGACTTGTTACAATGGGGAAACTGTAAGAACAAGGCACGTGTTAAAATGGACTTCTTATAACGAGGAAACTATAAGAAACATGCATGTGTTCACATGAATCACATGGACATGTTACAAAATACAACAAGGAAACTGTAAGAACATTGTGTTCACGTAGACGTGTTACGAGGAAATTTTAAGAACTTTATATGTGTTCACATGGACTTGTTACAATGGGGAAACTGTAAGAACAAGGCACGTGTTAAAATGGACTTCTTATAACGAGGAAGCTATAAGAAACATGCATGTGTTTACATGTACTTGTTATGTTTACATGTACTTGTTATAACTATGAAACTGTAAAAAATGTATTTGTTCACATGAAGTTGTAACAACGAGAGAAGTGTAAGAGAACGCATGTGTTCAAATGCACTTGCAACGAAGAAAGTGTAAGAATAACGTATGTGCTCAAATGAACTTGTTACAACGAGGAAACTGTAAGAACATTGTGTTCACGTAGACGTGTTACGAGGAAACTTTAAGAACTTTATATGTGTTCACGTTGGCTTGTTACAATGTGGGAAACTGTAAGAAACATGCATGTGTACATGTACTTGTTATAACTATGAAACCGTAAAGAAACAATGTATTTAATTTGTTCACATGGACTTGTAACAACGAGGAAAGTGTAAGAACAACGTGTGTGTTCAAGTGAACTTGTTACAACGAGGGAAGTGTAAGAACAATGTATGTACTCACATGGACGTGTCCTCGCTTATGGAACAAAGTGTACAAAAATTGGCCTACATAAGCTGATATGGTAGTTCGACATGATAATAATTCATGGAATGTATCGTACTGTGTACCGGATTGGGTGAATTTTGTCTCAGTAGTAATAGTCTGTAACAATGTATCTCTTTCTTTTCTATAGCTGGGACAAGTCATAACAAAGTGAAATTCATCTTCAATACTCTCATTACAAGTGGGACACAGTCTCTGAGTGGCTGGTGTGTTGTGGTGTCGACCTTTCTCGATTTGAAGACAATGCGTACTGATTCTCAGTTTTGTTATGCTAGTTGCGAACGATTTATTATGAATTGATGTGAGATAATATTCCATGCCAAAATACTTTTGGAATTTAGAATACGTATGAAGTAAACTAGTGTTTCTAAGTCTTTCTCTCCAGCCAGAAAGAAACGTGTCTTTCAGACGCTCTGTAAATATGATTCCAAAACGGTTGGCATTAACTGCGGGGTTAAGCCACACATTTTGGAACCCATGTTTACATAAAATGTCCTGAAAGTGAGTAGCCCAGTCATGGTCTCCTTCAACTGAAATGTCGTATGCTTTTTTAGCAAGCCTATCATTTGGTAAATTACTTAATCGTAACCAATATTTAATTAACTGTGTTTGACTGTCAATGAACAAGGGAAATACTCCCTTACGGCGGCGTTCACAGATCCTTTCGGAATATGGAGTAGAATTTTGCAGAAATTTAAAAGTTCATATTCTAAGTCAGGGATTTCATATGAAATTTTTTGGTTGTACTATTGTTATATTCTGGTTTGTTAATAAAGTGTCTGACTGATATATCACGTTCAGTTTATCACTATATTTTTTAAATCTAACAAGAACAGGGCGAGTACAGGGGGACGAGGGGTCTGATATCTTTCCTAGGCGACTGACTCGCGGTAAATCAATTTCCGAAAGTATGTACTGAGGATTTAATAAAGGGACACAGAGACTCGGAGTTTCAAACATGTCAAATGACGATGTCTTTATTCGCACGTCCGTCACCGACCGTGTCTCCCGATCGACCTTACCCCTCTCTCTACATCTGGTTCTCATCTCTTAACACAACAACTAACAGCCATTTTTCCGACTCACAGGGTGAGCATCATTTCGGCGCCATTTGGCGACTATTATTGAGATTGCAGTTGTTCAACTAGTAGGTAAAAAGTTAAGGAAAGACATCAATCTCCACTAGTAGAGTTAGCGGCCAGGCTTGCGTTGCTAGTTGCTTTAGGCTACATCTACACACCCTACATATGTTCAGTGGGTGTCCTATTTTATTTTCTGCCCCCGAAAATACATTGTAATACTGTACTTACGAATAAAAAGAGAGTATATGCCATTAGTGTTATTCACATACAGATGTGTGATGTCTAAAATTACTGTGCTAAAATACACCGGTACCCTGTCAATTCATGTTCTTCCTCCAGTTGCAACGATATTGTATCCAAAAGAGTGCATATCCGGTTAACGAGTTAGTGTCAGGCTCGGTTTTGGATAGTCTCCGTGTATTTAAGGACGTAGATTGTCCTGGATAAGCTTAGAACTATCGAGAACCGTTCCTGAGCATCATGGTTCTGGAAAAAGGAACTTTCTGGATAAGACAGGCATATCCCCCCACCCAGTATAAGGTCACTAAGGGCATTTTGATTTTATTATATGGATGACATACTCTAGGAACCCCAGAACTGATGCGACCTTAAGAATAAGAATAATAAAAAAAGGTTGGCCAAAAAGTTGCCTTCACACAGATGCACACTAATATGATGGTTTCTTGTCACACAAGCGATGAGACATGAGTGTTTACAAACAGCTTTAAAATCATTGAGACATTTTTGGTAGTGTTCTCACAGTCTCACTTTTTCCTGTGTGTTTCCAATGAAGCTTATGACTATGGGTGAGTAACCAGGCGAGTGCCGAAATGTAGGCTGCGAAGTTGAAACGCGCTCAGATGTTGATTTTCCAGTCTCTACTGTGGTCGTATCATTGGCGGTTGCGATGGCGGGGCGTGGTGAGACGTAAAGCGACCATCACTTCTTCTTCTGCGCGGCCTTCGTGATCTTCCCAGCAGTATCCGTCTTTTTCACGGACTTGATGACGCCGACGGCCACGGTCTGCTTCATGTCGCGCACGGCGAAACGACCCAGGGGCGGGTATTCAGAGAAGGTCTCCACACACATGGGCTTTGACGGAAGCATCTCGATCAGGGCAGCGTCGCCAGACTTGACCATCTTGGGGTTGTCTTCCAGCTTCTTGCCGGAACGACGGTCGATCTTCTCCTGCAGCTCAGCGAACTTGCAGGCGATGTGGGCGGTGTGGCAATCCAGCACGGGCGCGTAGCCAGGATGGATCTCGCCTGGGTGGTTCATCACGATAACCTGGGAAGAGAAAATGACACCTGTCAATCAGTACCAGTAGATCTCAAACATGAATGCCAGCATAGCACACTCGGGGGAAAGCTCAACGTCTCACCTTCTTTGGGCAAGAACTGCTTCAACCATTCTTTTATTGATACCGGTGTTCCTTACAAATCTTTCTCTCGGGAACTCCTAGCCTGACTAAATCGCGCTCCTGGCGGCCGCCGCCCTAGGTTGCCGCCCCCCCTTGGGTTGGGGGTCATTAACCTCCAGCCGAGAGCTTGTGTATACACAGGCTAGGGAACTCCCTTCCAGAGAGAGATTTTGAAATCAGAAATAAAAAGGGTCTGGTTGCACACTTACAAAATAAGTACATAATAAGAACCAGATATTTACAATAAAGAAAGCCCTGATCAACGACTTAATTGTAAATCTCAAGGAAGATCTTCGTAGTTCTCCTTTTTCTCTATGATGGTGAAAATATAAGAGCATACATGTCTAACGATCAGAGGTTTGTCGAAGTTCATTAGAAAAATGAATTTGTCTGTATTACTTAAGTGTATAAAGTGAGGAAACATCGATGTTATCAATCTACAAAGGTCAATTCCCTCACAGTTGTACAGACTAAATTCTACTACAAAATGGTGTTCATCTTCTATTTTATTTAAACTACAGTATCGACAAGTCCGTTGTTCTAGGGGAGTGTGGATTAATGTCTTCAATGTGTAGTTTATGGCAGCTGATCCGCAGTTTTGTGACAGCGGTCCAGTGTCGTTTGTTATGTCTTAGCTAACTAAAGATCTGCTTGGAGAATATCACATAGTCGAACCACACACCTGTGCAACAAAGGAAGCAGTCTTCTTGGGTGGGTCGTTCTTGCTGTCACCAGCGACCATGCCACGCTTGAGATCCTTGATGGACAGGTTCTTGACGTTGAAGCCGACGTTATCTCCGGGCAGGGCTTCGGGCAGAGACTCGTGGTGCATCTCCACGGACTTGACTTCAGTGGTCACGTTGGTGGGAGCGAAGGTGACCACCATGGCTGGCTTCAGGATGCCAGTCTCCACACGGCCCACGGGCACAGTTCCAATACCTGAAAACAATTCAGATCAGATCTAGTCAAGGACACCTCTCAGACTACTGTTTTCCTAATTTGTGTAACAGTTATGTTTTCGTGTTTACTTTTGGTTTCGAACTTTATTCCACATGCTAAGCACGTCAGCGACACTGACAGAAAAAAAATAGGTCAAAGGTTGGTTCTAGAAAAGATTATCTGTTTATTAGGTCAATGGTCCTAGAAAAGATTATCTGTTTATTAGGTCAATGGTCCAAGAAAAGGTTATCTGTTTTCAGTTTCTTGTTACTGTATGTCTGTTGCTTTATAGGATCCAATGTTAAATGAATAGCCAGAATCAGCAAGAAATTCACAATAGTGTATAAAGCTAGAAATTTATAACAAATGTATTTCACAAGAGATTAAGAGTTTTCCACTTTCTTGTTTCATTCCAAATTAGAGCTGTACCTAAACTCCCGTGCCTGTACCTAAGATTTCTTTAGGTACACAGCGATATTTCAAATCATACATTTACTACAGACAGCTGTTGACAGAGTAACCTGCAGGTTAGGGTTAGTACAGATTCTTGTACACTTTCTACGTACCGCCGATCTTGTACACATCCTGCAGGGGAATGCGGAGAGGTTTGTCTGTAGGCCTTTTCGGAGGTAGGATGGAGTCCAGAGCTTCAAAAAGCGTATGGCCCGAGGCGTTACCGGACTTGCGCTCGACGGACCACCCCTTGAACCAGCCCATTTTGGGGGAAATTTCCAGCATGTTGTCACCATGCCAACCTGAGATCGGCACGAACGCAACGGTGGCGGGGTTGTAGCCGACCTTTTTGATATAGTTACCCACTTCTTTGGTGATTTCTTCAAAGCGAGCCTAGAAACAGAGAAGTAATTTAAAAGAGATTTCTCAGGAGTATTTGTGGGGTTTTGTGACCTTCAAATTCACGTGCACTCTTTCCTGTGTCTGACCTTTTGAACCCCTGTCGTTCTGCCTGTTAATCTTCTCCCAACTGACATGTTATTAACCTACTCTACTATGTACCCTATTTACTGTGTCTGACGTTTTGACCAGTCATTCACACACACATGCTGGAAACTGCAGGGTACCGTATAGAGCTGACGCTAATCTTGAATGAGTGTCAAATAAAACTTACCTCGGAGTAGGGGGGCGTGGTGCTGTCCATCTTGTTGACCGCCACGATGAGCTGCTTGACACCCAGGGTGTAGGCCAGCAGGGCGTGCTCACGGGTCTGTCCGTTCTTGGAGATACCAGCCTCGAACTCACCAGTACCACCAGCCACAATCAGCACAGCACAGTCAGCCTGTGAAGAACAATTTTTTACATGTTTGATAGCATGCAATACCTAGGATTTTTACTAGTAATTATTCAGTTTCAACTGATGGACGGAAATAAGACTTCCCAAATATTCAAATGAGCCCACTACCTGTGAGGTTCCTGTGATCATGTTCTTAATGAAGTCACGATGTCCGGGGGCATCAATGACAGTTACATAGTACTTTGTTGTCTCGAACTTCCACAGGGCGATATCGATGGTGATACCACGTTCACGCTCGGCCTTCAGCTTGTCCAGCACCCAGGCGTACTTGAAGGAGCCCTTGCCCATCTATGAAGAAAAAGATGCATTAATTTTTTTTGACAACATCTGAGACCAAAGTCTGAGACCAAATCTAAGCAATTTGCATTTGAGGTTCTCCTGACCCTCAAGTTCACCTCATAACCAGTGTCTGATCTTTTGATTCGTCGCTCTACGAGTCTTTCAATCTTCCTTCCACCCATGTGCTATCGGCCTACAGTCTTGACACACACACACAGAAGCTCACAGCTCAGCCACCCAAAACAATACTTCCCTACCCAGGAATAGAAATTCTCTCTTGACTGAAAATCATCTCTCCATCATAACTCATCTTTTAAAAAATAATTCGTAATTGAATACGAGCTAACTTACCTCCTGGGCTTCCTTCTCGAACTTCTCAATGGCACGCTTTTCGATGCCACCACACTTGTAGATCAAGTGACCGGTGGTGGTGGACTTGCCGGAGTCGACATGGCCGATGACCACGATGTTGATATGGGTCTTCTCTTTTCCCATGTTGTTGTATGTGGAGACCGAGAGGTCGGTTTGAATCGATTGGAATCACGGCTCACTACAGTGTGCAAGTAGACATATTATTTCATTTGTGCTTTCTACACTGCATTTTGATTAGATTTACTGTCGTGGCAGCCAAGCAAATTCCAAGCAGTATAATGTATGTTTAACTCATTTCCATTGCTATTGGACTCCGGCAAAAGAAAATTATCTTAAACTGTTGTCAATGACTATGATAAATCAAATGCTTAGGTGTTCTCAGAATCTGTGTTATTTAGACATATTTTACACCATTTAATAGAGAACAGACAGTAGACAGGAAGAACTTGTCCTGCAGGAATTCAAATAAACTTGATGAGGAAATAGAGCGATGTGAATATATGAGGCAAACTGTATGTTAATTTCTCGAAAACCTGTATCAGCATTCAACTAGCATTGCAGTTAAATTGACTTAACGTTACTTTACAAACTGATGGGGGAGGGGCAATGAACGAATGACTTCAGTTTTTATTTGTGTCGTTCATTGTTCATAAAAATACAAGCTGTGATATTTTATCCATGCCAATGTGTAAAGAGTGACAAAACATTTGGGTTTTAGATGACTTTTTCTCTTGCCCATGTGAACATTTGCGCAATCGTGCCATCAAATTGAGTCAAACGGTGTAGGAATGATCTCGAATATAACGACTTGGCCAACGCCTGTGTCAAAAGATTGGTCCAATAAAGGGGGGGGTATAGATTATCTTCAGGCTTTTAAATCTGTCTATTCTAGATTCACTACAACTCAGTTACATACCGTAGATTATCAAAATTTCACTTTATACTTTGTTGTGGTATTGTTGTTGTCACTATTATTGAAAGAGTTCTGCGGCGCGGAGACAGCACAGACGCCATGATTATTTGACCGGCGCGCCGAATACTTCGGCTTACGCTCAGGTCATATTGTAACGTTCTGGAGTGAATGATAAAAAAAGGGACATAACCGTACAAAAAAGCTTTTAAAAATAGGATAAATACAGTAGTACATCTTTGTAGAAGAAAGACGGCTGAAGCGAGAGTTGTTTTTACAACAGACATGGATTAGACGGAATCAGGTCGATTCGCCCGGGGCGTAAGTGACTTGGGGCGAATGGTCGAAACCGACTAGACCGGTTCAACAGAAGTTCCCTCCTTTGTTACAAAACCGACGCCATTTTGTTCCACAGTTTTTATAAGAAGGTTTTACACCTACCTGCGTTTCAAATCCCAAATAACACCGTCAGGGCGTGTGGGGACACAGTTCAAGATTCCATCTCTACCAACCTTCCCGGTCGATACAATATTTCAGTTTCTCTTGCATGCCGACACAAAGCTTCAATGTGTGATTTTTGTCAAAATGTGTGATTAAACCCTTCATGCAATTTACGCCCTGGGTACCCTTTCTATGTGAATGTGAATATAAATAGAAATCATACAGTAACTCCTATGCATTTGTGATTTTTTTCAACTCAAAACTTGTGATAGATCATAAATGGAGTCGCAACATTTGCAAATATGTAAGTATTAGCTATAGGTTATCGTCTTTTTAGTGAGTGATACTTAAAATATCCAAATAAATCCACAAACACGTTTAAAAAGCTTCCCCTGTATATCTGCTTAGTTTCCGTGCTGCACTAGCCTAGTTAACCAGACCGCCGTGAGCTCAGCGCTATCCCTTCGGCGCCGAGAGCGTTTGGGGCCGCCAACCAGGCCTCAATTACGCGCTTCGGGTATGTTTCTTCGCTTTTACCGCGCGATAAGTTCCGGTGGCTCGACATGAACAAACGAGATGACCCTGTTCCGGACAGCGCACGGCGCGCCGTAAAATATGATCAAAACGTCAGAATTACTGTGTTTTCCATATTTATCATTGCATAGATAATATATCCATAGCGTTAAAAAGGGGCGCCGGGAATCGAACCCGGGTAGCCACCTCATGACACCAGCGTGCTTAATAGTCTCTACCAGACTAACTACGCTGGCTATATTATATATAAAGGAGAATTTGCCAGGGGAGTTTGGCCGCCTTGTAGGTTTGATTGGCCGCGCGGAGGGAAAGAAACTACCTTCCCGCGGCCGGACTTCCTTGGCCAATTTTACTCTATTTTTTGCCTAATTCTACGATCCGCATTCCCGTAGAAACGCCTGATGGAGGCTAAGCGTGCTAACGACTACTAGTACTCATTAAAAGTCCGTACCCATAGGAATGGATCAGTTTGCGATGCTTGAACCCCAATGTTACAAACAAGTGTTTCCTCCAAAAGGCTGGATGGTTAAATGACTAATAATGAGATTATCCAGCAAGATCTCAGAGTGTGACGTTCTCGATATCTAAAACTGGCAAAAAAAACATGTAGGGGAACGACAGAGGACCATGTAAGTAACTGGCGTCGACATAGACCATTTTTGGAGCTATAAAGGATGCAGTACAGGTAAATTTGGTATAGTTTGTAAAGTTACTGGTTACGGAAAAGCGACAGAGAAAGATGATAACGTTTAGAGAATAAAGGACAAAAAAAAATAGTTGCTCACCTCCACTTCGCACCTGGTGCTCTCTGGCCAGACTTGCGTCAGATGTCAGATAGGCAGCACAACTCGCTTCGCAGTTTGTCCGAGACGGAATGCGGTAAATCTGGTAGGAAGAAAAGTCTGGGGGGCATGCTGAACAAAACAAAGGTGACAAAATACGCCCTATCATTATAGCCATCACCGCCATCCAAGAAACCCTGTCCAGTCAAGCAATGTCTGGAGGGGATGCAAAGGTGACAAAAGGCGCTTTTCAAAAGACAAATCTTGTCAATCAATAAAAATGTCTTTTTCCACGTAATTATCTTTGCCATGTATTCAACCACCGCATCGATCAAACAATATTGTTGGGGCCAGGCTAGCCTCCTTTTCAGGCGTTCGGGGAGTGGTCTGGGGGGAGGGGGGCGCCTCTTTGCAACTTGTACGATTTTCTGATCAAACGTAGATCGCATGCATTAGAAGCTCCAGTCGCCAACAGTAGAATGTTCCAGGTATGAAATTATAGGGTCGACGGCCGGAGCTTCTAATGCGTGCGAGCTACGTTTGATCAGAAAATCATGCAAGTTGCAAAGAAGCGGCGCCCCTCTCCAAAAATTTTTCGGCTTCCGGATCGCCTGCAAAGGAGGCTATGCTCTGACCCCTCGGTGCTGGCACCCAGTCGAACCGCAAGTCACCGTAGGACGCGTTATTCTCTAAAATACGGCATATGCCGGGTCACGATGCATCGGTGTAAACAACTGCCTATACTGAACAAAAAAGACCTTAGACCTACATAATGTTTATACTTTGTCATCTACAGGATATGCAGAGGCCAATTTTGGACCGAAAATGCTGAATTGTCTTTTGGAACAAAGGCCCAGCCATGGGCGTATCTTTAAACCAATTAAGACCGAGCACCCAATTAACGTTCCATTAAAATGACGTATTAAGTGCCTGTCCGAAGGCTAATTGCAAATATGTAACATATGGATAAAAGAGCACTGAAACTGGGTAAAAAATAACTATGAAAGCGGCTAATTTACACAGTAAAGTATATTGTGAAGATGAAACTGCTGTATGGGTAAGAGTTATTTTCTTACATTGTTTTTCGTGTGTTTTTCGAGGGAAACCCTATCTGTTACTGAAGCAAAACCGGAGCCACCGGCGGATTTTACCGATGTCTAACATGCCGGTAAGAAATTTTTTCTCGACGGAAGGTAACTTTGGCCAAACGTCAACTAAGATCCATTCTATTACAAGGACTTTACGGCGAAGCGTAAGCGCAGGTGTCCATACACATACAACATTTAAATATCTTGAAATTAACAAGCACGATTAATGGAGAACCCTTCATCCTATAAACATTCCGTCTATTGTTAAGAACCCTTAGCTTCGGGCGCCGCAATTATGCAGTGTATAGCTTATGAAATAGGAAACATACAAAGTAGCAAGGAAATAGTAAGCATTATAGTGATCATAGTAAACAAAGAAGCGTTGACTTTGAGTTGAAAGATAAAACGCTTGGTAGTCCTGGTGCAACCCCCCCCCATCTGATAGTAGAATAGTCCAGCCCAAGAACCTCAATCTGGTGCTAGGAGTCCTGGAGGTAGGTCAATAAAGTATCAAGCTCCACCAACGTCCAGTGTGTGACCAGGTCTTTACAATCTAGAAGAAGAACTTGCAACAGGGATGCAAAGCTGACAAAAGGCGATCTGTTATCATCACCATCGTCGCCATCCAAGAAACCCTGTCGGTCACAACATATCGAAAAGTGGGTCAGGAGCGAAGTAGCAGGAACAAATAACAAATATAGACCACCAGGTGTGGATGGACAGTTTTCACGCCGAAGAAAATGAAAAGAGAAAAAAACAGAATATGTAGACTGATCAGTAAGAGATTGATTTCTTTACCCCTAATTCCTGTCAGCTGTAGTATACATATCATCAACAACTAACTTCGGTGGGTGTAGAAAACTTAAGGCTATGTTGATTTGATTATATGGATGACATCCTCTGTGAACGTCAAAATTGATGCGAGCGTGCGAATAATGAAAGTCCCCCCCCCAATAAAAAGGTTGTCAATGCCTTCATTACGAAATCTACGGTATGGTATGGCGAATAATAGAATCATTCTCATTTCTTCACATTTTCATTTCTTAACATTTTTATTTCTACACATTTTCATTTCTCCACATTTTCACTTCTCCACATTTTCATTTCTTCACATATTCATTTCTTCACATTTTCATTTCTTCACATTTTCATTTCTTCACATTTTCATTTCTTCACATTTTCTTCTTTTCCTTTGGAATTGATTTTAGCATTCTAAGACATTGGTATCGTTCTGTAATATATCTTTTTTGCAATCTTCGGCATAGATTTGCAATTTTTGTAGTTGCTTTGTACGATTTACAGTATGGTTGAAAACGATTTTTGAAACGGATGGAAATTCATTCGCGTGGATGTCACCCATATAATCAAATTGACATGGCCTAACATCAGCACTAATGACCAAGAACGTGTTTACTGCGATAGCGATATTCACGGTATTCAAGACGGTACCTATCCAGTTAAAGCTTCGGTCACAACCCGCCGTACGTGCATCTGTGTGCTGTCTGTGTGCAAAAACGTGAGCAAACGCAGGGGATCCGTGCGTGGTGAATACCGCCTCCGTACGGAAACCTACGGATTTGGGAGCACGCAGACACGCCGTAGAACTTTACGTGCATGTAAATCTTTTTCTGCGAGCGGTCTACGGATTCACCACCCGTGCGTGCGAGTACGGGCGACGTGCGTGCCCCGTACGTACCGTACGAAAAACGCACGTGTGAGTACGGCCACAGAGATCGTACGTTGTAAGCACGTACAACTCACTTACCACTTGCGCAACGTACGATGCACGCAACCGCTCACGGCCAGACGTGGCGTGCAGTCTACACTCTTACACCTTGCTAAATCGTGCGAGTGACGTGCGTCGATGCCACTCCTTCCCCACGTTTTCAGAAAAAACGTAGCAGACGTAGCCTCCAAAAAAACGTACGGACAAAAAGCACGTACGGCGAGTTGTGACCGAGGCTTAATATAGGACCCAATGACGTAGATTATCCAGGGTACGGTTTTGGATACGCGTAGAACTACAGGTGTATCAAGAACCGTGCCTGAGCATGATTCGGGACAGAACAAGTTTACGGATAAGAGGACTACAATTCAAACTTAGATCTATCACCCCCCCCCCCTATTCCCAAAGTACCAAACAGCACGTGCTTGCTCTAACTTACGTAGACTCAGTAACCAATGAGGTAGTTTATGTATAGCCCAGTTTTCCCTATCAGCAGCCGGCTTGCTCTAAGGCCACTAATACTGCCACTAATATGCGGATGTCAGTGTGGAAAAGGTCAGTAGATTACTTTAAAGAGACAATGCAAAGACGTATAAAGAGCCCTCTACCAGAGTCCCTGACATACATACGCCCACTTAATTAGCTGTGTGCCAAAAATAAAACAGAGAAAACGTTAAGACTGATGAGACCTCCGTACCAGGTACCTCTATGTACGTACGGACATCATTTTTGTTTTCTGGTGAATTTATATGTGACAGATCTTGTCAATCAATGAAAAGGTTTTTTTCCACATAATTATCTTTGCCATGTATTCAACCACTACATACTGAGACACAATTGTTGGGGCCGGGCTAGCCTCCTTTTCAGTCGTTCGGGGAGCGGTCTGGAGGGAGGGGGGGCGCCTCTTTGCAACTTGTACGATTTTCTGATCAAACGTAGATCGCATGCATTAGAAGCTCCAGTCGCCAACAGTAGAATGTTCCAGGTACGAAATTATAGGGTCGACGGCCGGAGCTTCCAATGCGTGCGAGCTACGTTTGATCAGAAAATTATGCAAGTTGCAAAGAAGCGGCGCCCCTCTTCAAAAATTTGCCGGCTCCCGGATCGCCTGCAAAGGAGGCTATGCTCTGACCCCTCGGTGCTGGCACCCAGTCGAACCGCAAGTCACCGTAGAACGTGTTATTTTCTAATATGCCGGGTCACGATGTATCGGTGTAAACAACTGCCTATAGTGCAACAAAAAGACCTTAGACCTACATAATGTTTATACTTTTTCATATCTACAGGATATGCAGAGTCCAATTTTGGACCGAAAATGCTGAATTGTCTTTGAGTACAAAGGCCTAGGTTTATCTTTAAACCAATTAAGACAGAGCACCCAATTAACGTTCCATTAAAATGCAGGTATAAAGTGACTGTCCTAAGACTAATTTCAAATTGGTAACATGGATAAAAGAACACTGAAACTGGGTAAAAAATAACTATGAAAGCGGCTACACAGTTAAGTATATTGTCAAAATGAAACTGCTGTGGGTGAGAGTTATTTTCTTACCTTGTTTTTCGTGTGTTTTTCGAGGAAAACCCTAACTGTTACTGAAGCAAAACCGGAGCCACCGGCGGATTTTACTGATGTCAAACATGCCGGTAAGAAATTTTTCTCGACGGAAGGTAACTTTGGCAAAACGTCAACTAAGATTCATTCTATTACAAGGACTTTACGGCGAAGCGAAAGCGCAGGTGTCCATACACATACAACATTTAAATATCTTGAAATTAACAAGCACGATTGATGAAGAACCCTTCATCCTATAAACATTCTGTCTTTTGTTAAAGAGCAGGCTTGCACTATATAAGAACCCAATAAATTCGGCTAACGTAAACTACCAGGCCCCATTCTGTCCCTGACTACCGTGGTGGTAACATGGGCACAGGGCTCTTGAAGACACTTTGTGTTTGTAACATATTGAAGACAGATAAGGAATTTATGTACATGTACAGTCTGTTTTACAGAAAGAAGATAGCCTCACCTTACCCAGAATATAGTAATTACACCACTGTACTGTTTTGCCAAGGTTTGGTGGTGTTATAGATTGGCCGGCAGTTACTTGAACAGTTCTAACAGAGATCCAGTCTACATGTATACTAGTGCTGCTTTCTCATACTACCAAATTGACACCACAATTGCAACCCATATTTCTAGACTCACTTACTATCCAAGCTAATTCAGTTGTGAGGTTGCCATTTTAGATATCTATAATTAGAGGCTTTGATGAAATGTTGACAAGACAGTTTGAAAAATTGAAATTTGACCACAAAGTTGGTTTTCCAGAAACTGAAAGTTGCAGATAGTATTTTCTTGATTTATGTGACTCAGTTACAGCTATCCCGATCATTCTGCATGGTTTGATATTGTTAGTTTGAAAACCAGTATAGAACAAACATTTGAATTTGTTCAAAAAGAGTGACAGTTATTATGCTAATCTGTCCCTGCCATTGTTTTCGGTGGCTGGACCGTCTAGGATGTTTATTAGTTTATGGGGATATGGGGGTCAATTCACTATTCAAGCTGCTGGAGAAGCCACAGTGGGGAGTACTTCCTTATTGCGTCGCCCTGGGCACCGAATCCTTCAGTTTAAGAACCCTTAGCTTCGGGCGCCGCAATTATGCAGTGTATAGCTTATGAAATAGTAAACATACAAAGTAGCAAGAAAAAAGTAAGCATTATAGTGATCATAGTAAACAAAGAAGCGTTGACTTTGAGTTGAAAGATAAAACGCTTGGTAGTCCTGGTGCAACCCCCCCCCCATCTGATAGTAGAATAGTCCAGCCCAAGAACCTCAATCTGGTGCTAGGAGTCCTGGAGGTAGGTCAATAAAGTATCAAGCTCCACCAACGTCCAGTGTGGGACCAGGTCTTTACAATCTAGAAGAAGAACTTGCAACAGGGATGCAAAGTTGACAAAGGGCGCTCTGTTATTATTACCATCGTCGCCATCCAAGAAACCCTGTCCAGTCAAGCAATGTCTGGAGGGGATGCAAAGGTGACAAAAGACACACCATCGTCGCCATCCAAGAAACCCTGTCGGTCACAACATATCGAAAAGTGGGTCAGGAGCGAAGTAGCAGGAACAAATAACAAATCTAGACCACCAGGTGTGGATGGACAGTTTTCACGCCGAAGAAAATGAAAACAAAAACAAACAAACACAGAATATGTAGACTGCCCAGTAAGAGACTGATTTAGTTACCCCTAATTCCTGTCAGCTGTAGTATATATATCATCAGAACTAACTTCAGTGGGTGTAGAAAACTTAAGGCTATGTTGATTTGATTATATGGATAACATCCTCTGTGAACGTCAAAATTGATGCGAGCGTGCGAATAATGAAAGCCCCCCCCCACCAATAAAAAGGTTGTCAATGCCTTCATTACGAAATCTACGGTATGGTATATATATGGCGAATAATAGAATCATTCTCATTTCTTCACATTTTCATTTCTTCACATTTTCATTTCTACACATTTTCATTTCTCCACATTTTCACTTCTCCACATATTCATTTCTCCACATTTTCATTTCTTCACATTTTCATTTCTTCACATTTTCATTTCTTCACATTTTCATTTCTTCACATTTTCATTTCTTCACATTTTCATTTCTTCACATTTTCTTCTTTTCCTTTGGAATTGATTTTGGCATTCTATCTAGACATTGGTGTCGTTCTGTAATATATCTTCGGCATATATTTGCTATTTTTTCAGTTGCTTTGTACGATTTACAGTATGGTCTAAAACTTTGTTTTGGAAACGGATGGAAATTCATTCGCGCGGATGTCATCCATATAATCAAATTGACATGGCCTAACATCAGCACTAATGACCAAGAACGTGTTTACAGCGAAAGCGATATTCACGGTATTCAAGACGGTACCAAACCAGTTAATATAGGACTGAATTTGGATAAGCTGCGCGCACCCAATGACGTAGATTATCCAGGGTACGGTTTTGGATACGCGTAGAACTACAGGTGTATCAAGAACCGTGCCTGAGCATGATTCGGGACAGAAAATGGTTATGGATAAGAGGACTACAATTCAAACTTAGACCTATCACCCCTCCCCCATTCCCAAAGTAACAAACAACACGTGCTTGCTCCAACTTACGTAGACTAACTAACGCATGAGGTAGTTTATGTATAGCCCAGCTTTCTCTGTCAGCAGCCAGCTTGCTCCAAGGCCACTAATACTGCCACTAATATACGGATGTCAGTGTGGAAAAGGTCAGTAGATTACTTTAAAGAGACAATACAAAGACGTATAAAGAGCCCTGTAGAAGAGTCCCTGACATACATACGCCCACTTAATTAGCTGTGTGCCAAAAATAAAACAGAGAAAATGTTAAGACTTATGAGACCTCCGTACCCTTGTCTACAGGTACCTTTGTGTACTTAAGGACGTCATTTTTGTTTTCTGGTAAAGTTATATGTGACAAATCTTGTCAATCAATGAAAAGGGTTTTTTTCCACGTAATTATCTTTGCCATGTATTCAACCACTGCATCGGTGAAACAAAATTGTTGGGGCCGGGCTAGCCTCCTTTTCAGGCGCTCGGGGAGCGGTCCGGGGGGAGGGGGGCGCCTCTTTGCAACTTGCACGATTTTCTGATCAAACGTAGATCGCATGCATTAGAAGCTCCAGTCGCCAACAGTAGAATGTTCCAGGTATGAAATTATAGGGTCGACGGCCGGAGCTTCTAATGCGTGCGAGCTACGTTTGATCAGAAAATCATGCAAGTTGCAAAGAAGCGGCGCCCCTCTCCAAAAAAGTTGCCGGCTTCCGGATCGCCTGCAAAGGAGGCTATGCTCTGACCCCTCGGTGCTGGCACCCAGTCGAACCGCAAGTCACCGTAGGACGCGTTATTCTCTAAAATACAGCATATGCCGGGTCACGATGCATCAGTGTTAACAACTGCCTATACTGAACAAAAAGACCTTTGACCTACATAATGTTTATACTTTTTCATATCTACAGGATATGCAGAGTCCAATTTTGTACATATTTTGTGCATTGCAAAATGACAGCGAACGATACGGCCTTTCAAACATTAGTCTTTTTTATTATTTATTTATGTTTTTATGTTCAACTGGAACATACCACAAGACGAGGTGACGACGTACCCAAGTTTTTTTTTCAGCTTATATTAATGCCGCCACCAACACAGGGGACAATACAATATTCATTTTCACTCATTTACACGAGGAAAGTCGTGTAAAGTGCTTTTCCCAAGGGCGAGCCTGCAAGGGCACACGATCGGTAGCATTTTGGGACTCGAACCCGGGACCTCTTGGTTCCGAGTAGAGCACTCTGCCGCTTCGCCACACGACCCCACTTCTTCACCTTTACAGTGATACCAAAGACCCTGGTTAATTCAGGACAATCGGGTCCCCCCCCCCAAGAAAAACAGCGACGGTGCACACATCGCAGTGGTACAAGAAATTCTAGCCCAGTTGTTACTACAGACACACACTATCCCGCGTTTCTTTTCCACTACATTTTGATACATTTTGCGTGGCGTCATGAAATCCGTTTCTTGACATTTGCAGCTTTATGACCGTGGCTACCACTTGCAATATGATAAGTGACATGATAACTGCGAAGTTTGTAAAGAAAAATAATTTCTGTTCAAGTACTGACTTGTTAAAAACGGTCAAATGTGACCAGTCGAACCGCAGACCTCTATGCCCATCTGTTCTGCGCAGCTTTCTCTTAGCTATCGTTTAAATCTCGCGCTTCTTTTCTAAGTACTAGTATTCCGAATATTCTGTGATCCCTTACATGAAAGTTCATCTGTGTTGGTACAAGTCATTATGAAATAAAGACTAAGCTTTATCTTCCAACACTTAGATTACAGAATTGGGACTTACCCAAATTTTCGGTTGACTCCATCAACCTTGTTCACGGAATGGACCCGTCTACTCTTGGAACGTGACGTCAGAGACACGTGAATGACGTAAATCAGACTTCTTTGCAAGAGGAGTAAAGGAGGCGGTCTACACAAGAGCTCACAGAGACCTGAACAGAGACGGGGGGCGACACAAGTTATCTGGCACGTATGACCCGCTACTACGGTCACGTGTCTCTGACGTCACGTTCCAAGAGTAGACGGGTCCATTCCGTGAACAAGGTTGATGGAGTCATCCGAAAATTTGGGTAAGTCCCAATTCTGTAATCTAAGTGTTGGAAGTTAAAGCTTACTAACTTTATTTCATAATTCTGTGATCCTGTCAATAGTGAAAATCATTCTGTTATTGGCAGGATAATAGCTCTTCCCTATCTCTTTACACTGAATGCCTTAGTCTACTGTCGTGGAACGGCGCACAGGTCGTAAGGACGAGGGGCGTTCACTAGGGCTGCCATGGTTCCGCGCGTGGGTAGGGTAGTGACGCCCTCTGGCGAACTGAATGTAAAATGCTGCATCAGGAAGACGAAGAGCAGGAAAACCTCCATCTTGGCCAGCTGTTCGCCTAGACACACTCGAGGACCTGAAGTATATAAAAGACCAAACCAGTGAAAATAACGTGGAAGATGCTAATCTTCCAGCGGATGTAGAACTATGGTTAGCTCCATAAGATGAAGTCAAAACGCCACAACAAGACATACAACAAGTCGAAACTATTTGTTTTGAATTTGAGATTATAAAGGGTTCTAGGCAAGTAAAGACAGAATGCTCTTGTCTTGAAGACGCGTTTGTGGCTAATACATAATTACTCAACTATGCATGGATGTACAGAAAGTGCAAAAAAAGTACGAATTGAAGCAATAAAAGTGAAAAGGGGCGCCACGAACGAAATATGAAGCAAGACACAATTAATACTATATCACCGATAGCACGAAATACAATCAATGAGAGTTGGGGAAAGGACTAAGATACACAAAACTCAACAGTACGCCATTTTAACCTCCCTGATGAGACTAGGCAAATGCGTTCAGACAAAAAGAATGCTGGGCACCAAAGGTGAAGAAACCCAAATGGCAGAGCTCCCAATAGCTTTGGAAAGAGGCTAGAACTACGTATTGCCGCGGATGGGCAGCCTCTAAAAGGTTAAGGCTTCGGGGGGGGGCAGCTGGAAAGAGTAGAAATTGGTCAAATAAATAGATGCCATACCAGCGGAGGTGGTTAGGTTGCAGCAAACTGTATACTATCTAGCCGACCAACTCCCCTTGCATGTTATTTTTCTAGGTGACCAATTTCTACTATTTCCAGTCGCCTCCTGAAGTCTGGTAGATGCTAGCGGATGGGAGCTCTGCCGTGGGAGAACGCACCCGCGCTTACTGACAGAACTTACCGACAGAAAACGGGATGAGCGCCTCGTGCTTGAAGAAGTTCCCGTGCCGATCCAGGAACCTGTCGGGGTTGAACTTGTCTGGTTCCGGGAAGAGTTGGGGGTCCATGTGCACGGACCACAGGTTCACCTGGAACATACACAACACGGCAAATAATTACCTAATCACACAATAATTTACCGAAGACGTTAACCCTGGGTGGATTTCTTCTCTAGTAGTACTCGTATACCTAGGCCAGTATATATGCACTCTACGCAAAAGGCATTGCATATTGTCTCAGACACAAACTTTTAAAGGCACCCAATGCAATTTCAGGGTGGAAAAACTGGAAATATTCTGAATAAGGCAATATGTCAATATTTCTGTATGATACTGACACATACTACCCACATTAGCACTTTTGAATCAGTATTTCATACTTTGGGCATAAAAAAACTACAAGAACAAGTCTCAAGATGAGTTCTTTGTTTTCTGGGTGATACCATAAAATCAGCCCCAGGTCCTTCCTGTTACCGTTTTTCGTCAGAATTTTCGTTATTTCTGTTCCATGAATGTTGACAAACATTGGGACAGTGTTCTTTTAACTTTAACAACGTCTGCTAGGAGGAAACCCTGTCAGCGCACACCTATAAAAGCTAACTAGATTAATGACCTGTTCCACAAGTCCATCAAGATAGGGGTGTTTTCTGAAATATTACATGACCTATAAAAACTGATACGGTGCGAGAAAACAACATACGACATATGCCAAAACATATACTAATGCAGCAACCCTTTTCACACTCCTACAAATATGGATATCTTACCAAGATGTTGGCACCTGCTGGAATGGTGTAACCGTTGAGAGCGGTATCTCTGGTTAAAGAATGGGGAACGCTGAGAGGTAACACGGTGTTAATACGCTGCACTTCCGCTAGGGTCGCTGTTGTGTAGGGCATCTTTTCCCGGAGGGCGTAAGAAGGAACAGCCTGTCCGAGAACGGCGTCGATTTCTCGGTGAACCTGTTTGGGAATAAGATGCATATATTTCTAAAACGGGCTTTTCTTGGTTTGAAGTTAGAGTGTTGGTTGCGTCCGAACAACACTAAGCGTGTTCTTTTTGGATAACAACGAGCAGATTCAAACATTCTATAAACATTTCTTGTTTGACGTCGCTTCATCCATATCAATTTCTAATTATTAGTATTGTTTGATGTCTTAAAGTCAGTATCAGTTTGAGTATCAGCAGAGGCTGTTCCATTATATTTTATATTACTCAGTAATTTCCTTCAATTATTTACAAATGTATCTACATGTAAGGAGATCTTAACCGGCTTGAAGAAGAGACAGTCTCGAAAGTTCCCCAGAGTAGCTGAACTTTTGTTGTGTGTTTCTGTATAAATATTTTGTCAAAAGTACAAGTGTATTGTTTTCTTCAATCACTAATCATATTCCGCAATTACTTATAATTTCTATTGTTGTCATACCATTATAATATTTGAAACGTTGGCCTTGTATCGGAACCACTGCGTTTCTAATTCTGTTGACAGCTCCTCTCAGATTTCAAATCTATAAATACGAGTAAATCTGAAGTTCACGAAAGGCCGATAAAAAAAAAAAAACTAAACTTGCCTTTTCCTGTATATCAGGATACAGCAGCATGTAGAGCAGGACCCAGTGCATGGTGGTAGCGGTGGTCTCTGTACCGGCCAGGAATAGGTCCAGTACCAGCTGTAGATTATGATTATTAGATCATATTATAGAAACGATGTATGATTTCATGGAAGAAGCTATTGACGCAAAAAAAAAGCACAGATGCTACCGTATGGTTAACTACAAAATAGTAGAGTAGAATTACGTACTGTATGAAATCCATTATATATTAATGCACATATTTAGCCATTTGTTTAGAGAATGCAGCCTTACAGAATTACGTATTAGAAATTCTTATCTTTTTCTAGAAAACGCCATAGACATCAAAAAGTGCACGTTTAATTAATTGCCTCACATCTATAGTCTCCACCAGACTTCGTTTGCGGGGTGAATAAATCGTAGAAATCGGCCTAAAAAGGGTATTAATTGGCCAGAGAAGGTAGCCGGCCAGAGAAGCTCCAGGGCCCCGCCAATTAATACTCTTTTTACGCCGATTTCTACGATTTATTCACCCCGCAAAAGAAGTCTGGTAAAGACTAACCCCTTCTACGTGTCCAACCAAAGTGTCGGCCCACTCTTGACAACATTGTTAAATTTTTGCCACATTATCAATATAAGTTTTGAACCTGTTAAATCTGTTGGCATTGTCCGCTTGTATCAACCAAACAATTCAAACTTATATATTTTTTCTTTAAAACGTCTTTCAACAACCCAGTCATGATATAATGGAGTACAATGGAGTGTTTCGACTATCGCTGATTTGATGAAACAACTGATAATAATTACACCCATGTCAACAGACCGACCTCCTGTAGCTGTTCCTTCGTGAAACTGGACTGCGCATGCTCTCCTCTGGTGCACCGCTGTTCCAACAGGAAGGCATCGATGAAGTCCCGGATGTTGTTAGGGTCAAAGGTCACCCTGTGCTGCTCGATCTGTTCCCCACAGAACTCCTGGAGGTCCAAGAACACAGTATAAACGGGAGACCCCGGGGGTTTATATATGGCGCGAGTAAAGAAAATAGCACAGCGAATATGCTTGCAGACTTGGTGAGTCATGTGAGCGTCAGCCAGTTGTAAATTGTGCTGTGTGTGTATCGGGTTTGAGACTGTACGATTTGAAATTGTGAAGGGTTTGCATATAGAAATGCGCCGTATTACGAATAAGCAACTGGCTTTCAGGGTGGGTTGGCTGCGGTTCAGTTTGTTCAAATTGTACGTCACAAGCAGATACGCCGACAGAATCTTTTCTTTCGCTAGCTAGGTAATTTATCCTTTGTACCTTCTACTCATGAAACATATTCAATTTTCATATTTGTGAAGTGCACCCAACTATAATTTTTACCGCGTCGAAGTAAGTCATCTTGGAATCCTTAACTATAAATAAATGCCCCTAGAGCGAAAACTGTGCTCTACTAGTACCTGAAGTCTGGGAAAGTTTCTCGCTATCTTCTCATGTTCCGGAGACCCGAACGGAAGGTGTCGAAACACGGGGTGGATGTTGATGAGAATGTCCTTGCCAGGAGTAGCGTTCGCCAGCTCGCTTATGAGATGGCCGAGCCGCAAAAACTCGGAGTCGCCATATTCAAACCGCTTCCCGAAGACGATGGAACAGATGATGTTAGATGCAGCGTTTTGTAACATGTGTTTGATGTTGAAAGGTTGACCGTCTTTTGCTACAAGTTCCCGACTAAGCGCTGCGGCCTCGTCGCAAATCTTCCCCTCCAGGCTCCGCTTACCCACGCCGAAGTCTCGGAGGGTCTTCATGGTAAATTTCCGCTGATGCTTCCAGTCCGGCCCGTAGTCGGCGAACAGTATACCTGAAAATAAAATGCGCTGTTTATTCACATTGATGACAGAAAGATGTCATTATGCACATTATATAAAATTCCAAACAAATCATTCTTGAACGTCAATTTGGTAACTTTTGTCGAAATAGAACATTCTTGGATTAAGGTTATTGTGTGACCATTTACTATATAGATATATTTCTTACACAATAATCTAGAAGAACAAAGGGTTTTCATTAGAAAAATATGGCAACCATATGTAGGAAGCTTACATAAATGGCAGCATTTTTTAGACATCTGTATGTGATTTGTGTATCTGTACTTGTTTTTATATTGTCCCTGTTTTAATATGGGCCTCCGGCCTGAAGCATAGAATATAATAAATAAATATTAGCCTCCTTTGCAGACTGTACATGTTAGGCGGTGAATTGAAACCGGGTGAAGGCAAAACCGTTCCTCCGCGGCAAAACTTGCATGGCTCCCCGAATGAAAATTAACAATGCCGCCCCACAAGTCTGCGATGGAGGCTTTGAATATTATAATATGATGATAGTATCCAGAAGGCTAATGGATCATACTTCAAATCAATTGAAAGAAAAATATAATATATAGGTGGTAATCAAGTTTATCGTGATACAAAAATGCATTAAAGATGTTGATCATTGCCTTTAGTTGTATCTCCAGACGTCCCATCCCCACGTAGATCCACCAGTACAGGAGGAGCCTTCCTACTGGAGAAGTCTGCCGCCCTCTTCACCAGGACGTCCCTGATTGGCTGATACCCGCTGATGACGACATTCAGATCTCGGGCGTTCCAGAAAGTCATGACGTCACCGTACTGCCTGGCTAGGTCGGTAATGGTGTTGGGAAGGAAGTCCGTCTGGTCGTGATGAAGTTGGCAATATCAAAGTTAGGGGAAAATCTTTTTAATATCTTTAAGTCGGGACATTTTAAAAGTCACAGATGAGATGAAAAAGAATGGTATTGTCCTGAGTGTTTTCAGTCTGGTTCGTTGCCAATAGAAGTTGGCAAAAAGTACATTTCAAAGTCTGAAACATTTCACATCACCCACAGAGTGAGATGGAAAAGAATTGCATTACAAGTTACAAGGTACAGTAAGCAAATATATATAGTGTATATATATATATATATAGTATATATATATATATATATATATATATATATATATATATATATATNTATNTATATATATATATATATATATATCATATAATATTATAAAGCTATGGTTCTCGAGACTATGATTTGTTTGTTTGTTAAGACCACGTGTTTTCAGCCCAAGGCATCTCAAGCTGTTGACGTGCCGGATAATAATACGTACTTCCCACCAATATAATGGTTCTTCAAACTCAGTTATACCCCTTGCCCTTTTCCGAGTGTAATCGGCCGTTTTAAATTCAACGTAGAGCGTAATTGGCGCATTTTGCGTAGAGCGTATTCGCCGTTTTAAGTCTATGTAATGCGTTGCAGCCAATTGGAATTTATCGTAAAGCGTAATCGAGAGGTTTCCGAATTCAGCGTAGAGCGTTGTCGGGACCCCCCCCCCCCTTGCAGGCTCCCATTATGCTGTGATAACATGCTGTAAGATAATCAAATGCAAGAAATCAAAGGTCGACATAACTGAAACATTATCTGGGTATTATTGTATGCAAGTATCGTTGGTGCCTCAAAACTGACCTTTGCCGTCATAAACAGCGGGATGTTCCCCAGGACGGGCCAGGTCCGGGGTCCAGGCGGGAGGTTCCGGGGACTCTGCAGGCACCAATACGCCAGCAGACAGGCACAGGCCGCCACCAGGACGGTAGAAGTGTCCACGTGCTGACGAACAGCCGCCAGGATCTCCGTTAGGAACGGCATGTTGTAAGTTTGTCTTTCAGACGTAGGTGTAGGTCTGAGCTGACACTTCCGTATCGTGGTGACCTTTGTCCTTTGGGCTGCTAAATGTTGTCCCTGGACAGAGGTCATAGTTCGCCATAGGATCGGACGATTTACCTGTTAAACGAACTTGGCCTTGAATTTTTTTCGTTTATACGATAAAACTAGTCAAGATGTGAAACTTTGCCAAATTGTATTCCACAAATCCAAACGGTTGCTGAGATTTCGGCAACTTTGCACTACACAATTCGGCACCTGTTGTAGGGCTAGGTCCCGTACAAGGCCCTAATGACGGGCCATTTAATGGTCTACTTATCAGGTCAAATTTACTATTCCGGCCGACTTTTTCTGGCTAGCGGGTATCATTGTTGTATCCTCTCACGTTCTGAGTGATTTGTAGTTAGTGTAAGCCGTTTTTAGGGCAGAAAAGGGGGGGGGGGGGGGTACGCGTTCCCGGGCCAGTGGGGAACTCCCATAGTAAAGCATAGGGGACGGTGCTACTTCGGGGTTCGCCCATAAATACTGTGTTGCGCGGCCTTAATGCTTCTATCCAATATGAAGGAAAGAAAGTGACTTTCGGGAGTGTTATTTTATGTCAAAGACGTTTAACTAGTCATAAGGCATAGGTTAAAGAAGTACATGTGTGTGTTGATATTGGCGATTATAAAAGAATAATTAGCCATATCCAATATATCAAAAGCAAATTTACACATTTCTTTAAAGAGCATTATCAAAGTCTTGTTTTACAGCAGACGTAATTTCAGCAGATATTAGGATACCTATCTAAGTAGTCCATTTTTTAACTGCGCGCCAATTGCTGCCGAGTTATTGATTAGATTATGCTCCGACGATCGGTGAGAATGGGCAGCTGTGAGGCGACAAAGTTTAAAGTTGACACACTCCTGTTTTAGGTGAGAACATAACATCTGGCACTGATAAAAAGAATCAATTTTGAATACGACTTATCATAAAAGGAGGCCCATACAGTTACTTCTGCATTTTAAGCTTCAAACGGTGACAGCTGTACATCATGATGAGAAGTGTGCTCATCTTCGGGGTTTTGGCTGTGTCTTTCGTATCATGTGAAGGTAAGTAATAAGCACTCTCAACCGTCAATCTAATCTATGTTTATTGAGATTTAGTACATGGTGTAGAAGGATTGGCATAGTAGGTGACTATAACCTCTTCAAGATGTCAACCCCGAGACCAGACTGTAAGGTTTGAACCACTCACACCGGGAAGGACCCCCGTGATCTTTACGAAAAGTCTGGTAAACCAAATCCACCAATATGGTTTCTCGACAGGATCAATGAGGTCATGTATTCAATTGCAAGTTACAGCAAGTTTCAAAAGAACATATATTGGTGGTGCCAGATGACTACATTGTATGATACATTACGTAAGAATGTAAGCGACAATGCGTCTTCCTTTCTGCAAGTTGGTGACTTTATTTGTAGCATCTTCCTGTGACAATGAATCGGTTTTACTTCATGGAGATCATTCAAAACTAGTTTGTCACTCGTATAGGATATGTAACATATGGTAGTCATAGAATTAAAAGCGCCAACACTTCCACCGGAAGTCGAGGTACGTGTACCGTGATATCATGTATTAAGTTCAGAAATTTTCTTTTAAATTTTTCCTGCTCCATTACATGGACAAAAATGTAATATTTCTCTTGCACTTATTCCCGTAAGTATCATGTTATTGTACGCATTGCCGTACTGTTATCCGCGCAAATCATGGATATCCTAACATTCTCAGTTATATTATATATTTTGTTCTGCAGGTGAAGAAGCCTACTTGGCATCCTATCAGGGATGGGACTACTACAAAGTACGTGCTTCAGGGACGATGACGTCAGCTAACATCAAGATCACGTGTGAAGCGGCTGGGTACGTCATGCCCTGTCCTCAAGAACCAACGTGTCAGTATACGCCCTCTACCTGTACAGACACAGGCCTAGTGGGTATAAGATGCGGTGGCCACCTAATGGACGAAATCTCCCAGGTTCTAAGTGGACAGAATCCGATCTATTGCCCTGCAATGGAGGGCATATTTACATGCTTCCATTCCAGTTCGTACGCAGGTGACGCTATCGGTGTCCAGCCAATCACCAGCCCAGGTAATTGGTTCGAAGGCGCAGACTACAGCAACCAGTTCGCCTTCTGTGCAAAGGGTGAGTAGTTTTATGGCCATTTAACAACCGGCCGCATCATCACAATGCAATAGATGTTTCGCCTCATTCTCATACACTCTCTCTATATATATATAAACAGCCTTTAACCCTATTCAATTTTCCTATTAATACGTGATTAATACTATAGAATTGATACGCGCAATATTGACATTGATATTGACTTTTAATCGATTCAGATTTTAAGCGTTTTAAATCTAATACTGTGTTATTTCATATCATCTAATACTGTGTTATTTTAATGCGTTGTTTTAATGTGTATTTGTGTTAGTGAGCTGTAATTCTGAACGTCTTACACCAATTCAGCCACGCATGTGGCTGCAAACTGTGGACAATTTTAAAGTTGACAATAAACCATTATTACTATTATGTATCTCACCCAATTGCTACTAAGACACGTGACTTTTACATAGACTTTATTTTTACAACAGTTTTATTTGTAACCGCGTTTATTTTACGGTATTATTCTTTCTTCAGATATTGACGAGTGCGCTTCGGATCCTTGTCACAATGGCGGTACCTGTGTGGACGGAGTCAACTCCTACACCTGTCAGTGTGGGCCTCTATTTACTGGACATAAATGTGAAAATGGTAGGTGAGCACCGTTTTACAGTGTTAAAAATACCTTTTACTACGTGTTCAGCAGATGTTTCACCTTTCCTACTTCATGCTGGTCTTACTAATTGCTGTTCATCATTACGTATTTTTATCTTTATGCGCAATTTTTCATACAGTAGCCTATTGCCATTCCTTGTTATGACCTCTACCTACCTCTTATATAAAAAGTTTAGAACTAAAGCTCTCCGGGCCTCTTTCAAACTCAAATCATTATTACCATCCAATCACAACCCGTCTATCACTCTTGCACTAGAACTCTTTAATAGTCTGGTTAAACCAATCTTACTCTACTGTGGGGAAGTGTTGGGCTCTAATATTCAATCTAGGGACTTAGTTTTTAAAGGAATAGTAGAATCTCCAAATGAAAATTTACGTGATATATTATCTAATATTCTATACCCGATAATAGGATCACAAATAAATATCCTCAAGACAAACCGTATGGGGAAGAAAACTGACCATCCACCCAACCGCCCTATACTCGTCCGTCTTAGGAAATACAGTGATAAACAAAACATTATACAAAATTCAAACCAAATAGCAAGCCAAAACATATTTATAGAACAACCCTCAGTTTCATACGAAGTTCCAGATTTAGAACATGTTCTCTTAAACTATTATAAAATACTGCTCCGTGTTCCCAGAAGCTCCGTCAATGCCGCCGTAAGGGGAGAATTAGGAGCGTTTCCATTATACATTGATACACAAACCCACCTTATTAAATACTGGCTCCGACTACACAACCTCCCTAACGATAGAATAGTTAAGAAAGCTTACGATATTGCTGTGGAACAAGAACACGACTGGGCCGTTCATGTGCAAGACATGTTATGTAAACACGGTTTCCAAAATGTTTGGCTAAACCCAGTAGTTAACGCCAAACATTTTGGAAACGTGTTCAAAGAACGGCTCAAAGACACGTTTGTTTCTGGCTGGAGGCAAAATATCAGAAATTACAGCAAACTGAAAACCTACTCCAAAGTCAAATCTGACTTCGTTTTTGAGAAATATCTTTCACTAATACAAAACAAATCTTTCGCCGCTAATATAACCAAAATACGAATTAGTTCACACTGTTTAGAAATAGAAAAGGGACGCCATAACAATGTACCAGCCACTCACAGATGTTGTCCTATTTGCAAAGATATTGTAGAAGATGAATTGCATTTTATGTTAACATGTCCAGCTTACAATGAAGAAAGACAAACACTTATGAACTCTATCACCAACAGCACAAGTATTACATTACCTAAGACAGTCTCAGATACCTTTACTTTTCTTATGTCATGCCCCGATGCAATCTCACCATATATAGGCCAATATATTTCTAACGCCTTAGTTAAAAAGAAAACAAATGTCATTTCCGTAAACAAGTCAACTGATTGCTTACACATAACAATAGGAATCAACTATATATATATATATATATCCATTATACTAGTAATACTTAAGTATAGGACAGAGTAGTATTTAGTTGTAGATTTACAGAACCCCTGTATAATGTTTGCCATTCCTTTTGTATACTAGTACGATGTAACTTAAGTTCGATTCATATACAGCATGAATGTAGTACTCTTTTACGCATTAGTTTAGATTTTAGATTTGTACTTAGTACCGCTAATTGCCATACGATGTATCCGTACATTAGTTGTGCAATAAACTTTGACTTGACTTGACTTGACTCTTATACCAGTTCTGAACGCTGACAAGTGCTTCCAACTGTCAGAGGAGCCCAAAGCCCACCAGGCTGCCGAGGGACAGTGTGTTACTCTGGGTGGAACTCTGGCCGGAGTGAAGACCGTGGCTGAACAGGAGTTCCTGGCTGACCAGGTCCGGCTGGGGACGGACGTGTCCCACTGGGTCGGTCTCAAAAACGGACAGGAACACTTCTTATACACCGACCTATCCACCATGAGCTGTAGGTTTGAAAATTTCACTTTATTTATACGGCATAGCAGGGTGCTATTAGCGGTGATCGATGTTGGCTTGTCTGCTTGCTTGGTTGCCGGTTGGTTGGTTCGTTGACTGGTTGGTTAGTTGATTGCTTGTTTGGTTTGTTGACTGGTTGATTGATTGGTTTGATCGATTGATTGGTTGACTTGTTGCTTGGCTGGCTGGCTGGCTGGCTGGCTGGCTGGCTGGCTGGCTGGTTGGTTGGTTGGTTGGTTGGTTGGTTGGTTGGTTGGTTGGTTGGTTGGTTGGTTGGTTGGTTGGTTGGTTGGTTGGTTGGTTGGTTACCCGTTGGTTGATTGGTCGATCGTTGGATTGGTCATTCGGTGTTCCGATCCAATGGACATCATACGCGACATCTATTGAATTGCAAAACGCATTAGCATCTACCCTCTACACTGTATCGTTCCCCAGCTAACCTACGCTGGATGTCCGGAAAGCCTGAACACCTGTGTGCGCTGCTGGATAAGAACGGGAACTATGACCTGAACGCGGACTTCTGTACGGAACAGTACAACTACGTCTGCGAGTCAGGTGAGTCATGGAGTTTGATCCAAAGTTAGTTTGATAAATTGAACTCCAAGCAGTTAGAAAATCTTTTTTCTAATTTCTAAAATTTTGTCATTATGATGAATTCCCCTATTGGACGGATAATCTTGAAAAATCAGATCAAATAATTGACACTTGTACTTTATCTAATGATTTGGTATGTTGAAAATATCTTAAACTTATCTGTTTATATTTGTATGAATGACCAATGTGCATGAACATCAAGACAAATTCCTTTAAATATAAAATTTCAAAGCAATTCCTTTCGTACCACCGTTCTCAAACGACTAGTTTACGCTGTTATGTGACACTTTATTACCCAAATGTATATACTACAATATGCCCTTTCCTTCACTACATGTTTATACTACAATATGACATTTCCAGATGTCGTCACCTGCAAGCAAAACGTCTGTCTGAACGGAGGAAACTGTACCTCCTGCTTCAACGAGACTTACGCCTACTGCGACTGCGCACCAGGGTTTGTGGGGAACCGCTGTGAGATCAGTAAGTATACGTAGCCAAATTTCTACATACTAAGCAATGATCTACGTAATTTTCAGTATAATACAGTGTATTTAGATATCTAAAAGAATGACAATTACTTAGTTTTTCTTAATCAAAAGGTTTGTTACCGATATCGTTTTTGTCCTTGGTGCTGAACAAGAAGTCATCTGTACTTTCTTTCTAATTTTTTTTTACACTGTCATAATTTGTCTCTTCAAAAATTTTGTCTTCCCAGATATTGACGAGTGTTCCTCGGATCCGTGCCACAATGGCGGTACCTGTGTGGACGGAGTCAACTCCTACACCTGTCAGTGTGTGCCTGGTTTCGTCGGAGACGACTGTGAGAACGGTACGGACTAGTATAATTTCTGTCCACCGGTGTCACAGCTAGTGATCTCGCCCTCCCGTGATTTCGCCTTCCCCGGGGCCCTCACTAGCGATTTCGCCCCCACCGGGAGGGCGAACTCGCTGGGGGGCGAGATTGCTGTGACACCGGCACCATTCAAGTTGAAATTTATAAACCAGTTAGCCTCATATTTACTTCTCTTTCTTATCGTGAGCTGGTGTGTTAGGTAAAAGGACGGTTATACCGAGTACATAGTTACAGAAAGGACGGTTGGGCGGTAGTTCTCAAATGTATTCTTTTGTTTTCATTTGTATCAGATGTTGACCTCTGCATCAACAACCCCTGTCCTCCCAACTGGGGCTGCCATGACCTCGGCCACTACTTCATCTGCAACGGTGAGCACAGAGGAAATGTTGTTACACAGCAGTAGATATAATATATGTAATGTAACACATGAAACCAACAGCCAGCAAGATGGACATACTGATCTGAGTACACAACAGTTGTTGAGGTAAAAACTGCAAGGCTTTCAATCAATAACTGTTGCTATCTTATTCCTCCGCAGGTTACGGGCGTGCAGACGCAGACCTGTACCGCTGTGAGAGTTTCTCCTGTCCGTACGGCTGGTCCTGTCAGGACAGGGGACAGCTCTCCTTCATGTGTGGCGCACATGTCTAGAGTCCTACACGTGAGTAAATCTAAAATGGCTTATAGTTCACATACACCGTAGTACGATGTACCTACATTAAGATGCCTTATGATTTACAAACATCACACGATGCGCCTACGATTTTTTTGCGATGTATCGTCGTACATCATAGGTGTAAGGGGAAAACGAGTTCGATCGTTTTTCATCCGTAAATAATTTCATCAGGTTGGTAAACGAATGAATAGCAAAGTTCTTTGATCACAACCATTTATTTTTTACAAGCCGATGTTTCGATGACCGTCTGTCATCTTCATCAGGGCAATTCTGTCTGGTTTGCTGTGCACTGACGCTAGATGTTACTTGGTGCATAGTGCACTAAAGGTGCTACTGTTGGTAAGTAAAAGTAACAGTGCACTGTGAAGTGTGAACCAAGTAACACCTTTAGTGCACAATGCACCAAGTAACATCTAGCGCCAGTGCACAGCATGCAAACCAGACAGAATTGCCCTGATGAAGATGACAGGCGGTCATCCAAACGTCGGCTCGTAAACAATAAATGGTTGTGATCAAAGAACTTTGCTATTCATGAGTGCGATCGTTGTTTGCCTTCAAATCTACGACGTACGACATTGCAGGTGTATAGTACTATGTATTAAACCGGGGCTTAGTCACAACTTTAATATATTCGAAAGCAAATGGGCGAAGGCAATTCAAAACAAAACTTGGTCAACGCGCATTTTTTCGACCTATTACTCTTCTTTCATGATATTAGATTTATATAAATCTGCAATCTAGCTAGAGACTAAATCATATCATATTTAGATATGAAATATTAAATAGGTACCTTGCTCTTATTGATGATATCTTTGTAGCTTTTTATTGCCATCTTGGAATCTGACGATGCCAAAGGTCTCATGTTCCTTTGTCCATACAGGGACCTCGCATGGAGAAATGAGAACTTCAGAAGAGTCGCCTCCAATGGCCGCACCGAACTCTTCCTTTAGTATCTCTTCTGCCTAATACTGCGCTGTTGGTACGGCACGTAGATATAGCGGATGATAATAAAAGGCTTAAACCCAATTTTTATTTCATTTGTAATGTTTGTGCTTCGGTGATTCCTGTGTTGTTACTTACAGACATGTTAGCCTTGAGCCACCGTAAACATAACAGATTTCTGTCGCGGAGGTAACAGTGATCTAATGTTGGAAGAATTTTCGAATTCGAACATATTATTACAATCCAGCCAATCAGAAAAGCTGCAAAAAATGTGCATTTTGGGATCCGGTTGACCTGAAATTCGATACCTTGGCCAATTGTCCACAGAATGTCGTTTCTGTTTTTAACATACTTGTACACCACTTTATCGAGTTCTGTTAGTTCATTAGTGACGCCGAAGAAGAGTGGTGGATGTCACTCGAAACGTCCGGATGTTACGAGTAATTATCTCCGTAATTTATCCAGTAGTAGAGTTTAAATTTCCTATGCATTGTTTACCTGGATGTCTAACATTCATCAACGTACACCACTTTAAAATTGGGTAAAATGGGGCTTTAGGCTATTTTCAGACAAATAATGTACAATGTACAAATAAACTACAATTTTGATGTCGTTATGACTTATTATGACGTCATTAATGTGATTTTATTGGCCAAAACCGTCTAGATACATGTAGTTTATTCCCTGAAAACTAAATGGTATACAACATAACTTCACCAAAAGTGTTTATGACAGAATATTAGGGTGTACTACGTCTTATGTTTCTTATAGCAACCCCGGTGACGTCATAAGATGACGTCATGCATGTTTAAGCTATCTGCTATCTTGGATCATCAATCTTGAATTTTCAAAAATAGTTGTTGTTTTTTTTCAGGATAAAGCCTAAAATAAATTAAAATACATTGTAAACAGACTAAAGTCGTTCATATGAACCTTTTCCGTAAAAAGAAATGGACGTATTGATGACATTTTAAGGAAAAAAACTGTATATACGTATTCTAATGATATGGTCCGCCATCTTGTATTCTGGCCAATGACTTCATAAAATTAGCATAAATTATGCATTTTTAATGATAAAATTTACATAAAATTATATGGGATGTTATTAATATTAGAAACCATATGTAACTTTACATAAAACCCATACAATTCTATTCTTGAAACGAAAATTACCAAATTTAGCAAAAAATGCCTGTCAGAAACCCGTTGCCATGGCAACACAAAAAATATTATCTTATTCCAATGACACACAATTGTTGCCAACAGTATTATAGGAAAAGTCATTAAGTTTGATCGTTCTAGCGCCAGCTGTTCAGACTGACACTTTTAGCCCCCTCTCCGGTCTAGATAGGGTTAAGGTTTTCCACCACTATGAGTAGCCAAGTGTTGGTCTCAATTTAACTTATATGCAGCAGAAAAGTCGCACTAGTTACATTTGTAGGGTTTTTCTCCTGTATGTTTTGTCATATGCCTGGATAGGTAAGACTTTTGAGATGTTCTAAACCCGCACTTCTCACACATGTAGGGTTTTTCACCTGTATGTTTTCTCATGTGGAGGGTTAGGTTATACTTATTTATCGTTCTGTATTCGCACTCCCCACACATGTAGGGTTTGTCTCCAGTGTGTTTAGTCATATGCTTGACCAAATACCTTTTTTGCGAAGCAGAATAGTCACACTGGTCACACTTGAAGGATTTTTCACCATTATGTGCAGCCATGTGCTCGTCTAAAGCCCATTTGCGTGCAGCAGAATAGTCACACTGGTCACACATGTAGGGTTTCTCTCCCGAATGTTTTCTCATGTGCACGGTTAGGTCAGACCTGGTAGCAGTCCTGTACTCACACTCCCCACACATGTAAGGTTTGTCTCCGGTGTGTTTAGGCATGTGTCTGTCCAAATACCTTTTTTGCGAAGCAGAATAGTCACACTGGTCACACTTGAAGGATTTGATACCATTATGAGTAGCCACGTGTGAGTCTAAAGT